TGAGGACTAGCTTGCCGGCAAGCAAGTGAACCTCGGTAAAAATCATTGTGTTCATCATATTGATTCCGAGGTGATTGGTCTTCATTGTTATCCACACTTGTGATTGATTGGTTCATATATCTACACGGCGGTATAACCTTCTTGCCTACTCATTACATTACCGCAAACTAGTTGTCAAGCTCTTTAGTGTAACTAGTTGTGAGAGCTTGTTAGTTTGGTTAGTGTGGCTCTTTAGTTAGCTTTTGAGAGCACACTAACTTAGTGTAGTGATATAGCTATTGTGTGGATATACTTCATCTAAACTAGAATTGTGGTAGGTGGCTTGCATTTTGGTAGGCTAGCGCATAACTCGCTTCGCCTCATAATTGTCTAATCCTTTTGTTAAGTGTTGTTGTAGAATTTTTATTAGGCTATTCACCCCTCCTCTAGCCATTAGGACCTTTCAGCACCGCAGACGCGAAAACAAGGAGGACGTCGCACAACCAGCGCAGCCGCCCACATCACCACGATGTCAGACGACGCACGCAGCTGGCCGTGCCACCATGCCCAATTGGGCCGCCACCTCCGCACACCCCGCACTGCCACAACCACGCCTTCCGCACCGTCACAGCCGAGTTCAGCACGCCCACACGCTGGTAGCCCAGTGCCTCTGACGATAGCCATGTCGCGCCGTAGCCATCGACCTCTGCCCCCACCTCCCCTCGCCGCTGAACGTCATCGATGGACCAGATCTGGCCGTGTCCGGCCAGGCCCACGTAGGATCCGCACGCCCTGGCCGAGCACACCACCGGTGCAGGTGTAGCCGATGCCGATGCAGCCGAGATGGGTGGATCTGGGCGTCAGATCACCGGATCTGTCTACCCCCGCTGAGGATGTGCCCTGCCACGCCATTGCCTCCTTCCCGCACGCCGGAGACCTCAGGCACAGAAGATGACACCATCGCTTCCTAACAGAAGTCCAGCCTCGAAGGTCCTGCCGTCACCGTCCTCATGGGCCACCAGCGGCTCACTCAGGCGACGGCGAGACGAGAGGTGTGGAAGGCGGCGGGAGTTAGTGGCGGCGCTCTAGGGTCGATGCCCGAGTCACCCCGACCTAGAGCGACGCGGGGGCCTATTATGCTTTGCTAGGTTTTGAGCTTGTAGCACGAAAATCATGAATATAAATAACGTGGAGTAGTTGTCACACTCGATTCCAAAATCAAGCGAGATTATTGGCAGCATATAGTATACATGTGATGTTTCATGATTATCTTTGAGTATTTATATAGTACCCATGAAATGCTCTGTAGAGCAAATCATTGAGTTCAAGCGCTCGGACCATAGCACAGTGTCGCCAACTCTTTCATACACACCGCATGCATTTATGATTCTTTGTTGGGTTATTAATTTCTTTTCTACGCCAAACAAGGAAAAAGTCTACATAACCCCCTCAACTATCTAGGGTCGACTAGTTCACCCCTCAAACTATAAAACCAGATATTCTGCCCCCGAACTTTTTCAAAACTGATCAAATAACCCCCAAGCGGTTTTTCGATGGTGGTTTTGCCACCATGGCTACTAACATGGACGACGACGTGGCGATGGCCACATGTCAGCCACCCCTCTCTCTCTCTCTTCTCTCCTCTCCTCTGTCCTCTGTGCCCATGCCGTTATAGGGCGCGGCGACGTACTGGCCGCTCCAGCGCTCGTCCGGCCTAGCTAGGGTTAGGGTTAGCTCAATGGAGCACACCGTGACTTGCTTGACTACACGGCTGAGGCGAAGATGAAGCGAAGAGGGCTGCCGACGTAAGGGCGCGGAGACGACAGCGTGAATCGGTGGTTGAGGCGGCGTTCCGGCGTGTCCTAGGCTCCGACAACCAAACAGACAAGCCTATGAGCAACATGGAATCAAGATGAAACCAAAACTAAAGACGAGAGGGCGAGATGTTCACTAGAGAGAGCTAGCCACGGTGAGGAGATTGCGGCGGCCATGGCAAACCGCGGTGACGGGAACCGGCACCGAGGACGACTTCGGCAACAAGAGACGGCGCAATTAGGATCAAACGATACGCAAGGACGTGGTGAAGCTAGAGACGTGAGCAATTGGGCAGAGGTGGAGCAACCGCGGTGAATTTTGCCGGCAAGCTCGAACGGTCGGTGCGGCGCAGAGAGGGACGACGGTGAAGGAGCCAACGCCACCGGTGGAGGAGCTTAGGAGAGGAGGCGTCGGTGCCTCGGCTGGGCTCGTGCCCGCACCGCCCACGCCGCCACCTCAGCCTCGGTCGCGCCCGCCTCGCACGTGCCACCCCGCGCTAGGTCGCTGCGCCCGCGAGGCCACGCTGTTGGGCCGACAGGTCGCCACGCCAACGAGCTCCTCCTGATCGGCTGTTGGTGAGGGAGAGGGAGATTGAGAGGGAGGCACGGGAGAGTGGGGGAGGGGAGAGGGGAGGGAGAGGGGAGAGAAGAGAGACGGGTGGCTGACATGTGGGCCATCGCCACGTCGTCGTCCATGTCAGCAACCACGGTGGCAAAACCACAATCGAAAACCGCTTGGGGGGGGTATTTGACCGGTTTTGAAAAGTTCAGGGGGTAGAATATCCGGTTTTATAAGTTGGGGGGTCAAGTAGTCGACCATGGATAGTTTGGGGGTTATGTAGAGTTTTTCTGGCCAGACAACCGCATGTATATGTGTGATTGAGATGGAAGGTGGATGTGTGGTGTAGGGTACTGCCGATGCAATGTTTTTCTTATTCTTATTATTTTATTTTATTTACGTTTTCTATTTATATTGTTTTTACATTTATTTTTTATTTTTTTCATTTCATTTTCAATTTTCATTCTTCCTTCTTTTTCCTATTTTTTCTTGTACATTTATGTGGGTTATATCGCATACCAAAATATTTGGTTTTGCTTAACTATAAATAATTTGTGCATTTATGACGTGTCTTCTACATTTGTATGTGTACCAAAACATTTGACTTTAGTTAACCATAGAAATATTGTGCCTCTATGACGTGTCTTGTAATATTTGGCTTTGCTTAACTATAAAATAATTTGTGCATTTGGGACGTGTCTTTTATATTTATGTGGGTTACGTCACCAAAATATTTGCTTTTACTTAAATATAGAAATAGTTTGTGTATTTGTGTTGTGTCTTCTACATTTATGTGGATTACATAAGATATAAGCCCTGTTCGTTTTGCTAAAAAGTCATGGCTGAAAGTACTGTTCGCTGATTTGCTGTGAGAGAAACACTGTTCGTTCGCTGAAATAGTACGGCTCATAAAACAAGCGAACAAGGCTATACTTGACTTTTTTACTATAGAAATAATTTGTGTGCTTGTGATGTCTTTTGTTTTTGTTTGGGTTATATCACGTACCATATCTGGCTTGCTTAACTACACAAATAATTTGTGTGTATATGACACGTCTTATACATTTTTGTGAGTTACATTACGTACCAAAGTATTTGGCTTTGCTTAACCATATAAATATTTTATGTAATTGCGATGTGTCTTCTGCATTTGTGAAAAATATCACAAACTAAAGCATTTTGTTTTGCTCAACTACCGAAATAATTTGTGTATTTATGGTATGTCTTCTATATTTGTGTAGATTACGTCATACCAAAACATTTTGGCTTTGCTTGACTATAGATATAACTTGTGCATTTGTGACGTGTCTTCTGTATTCATGTGTGTTACATGACATACCAAAACATTTGGCTTCGCTTACTATAGAAATCATTTTGCTTACTATAGAAATCATTTGTGCATTTGCTATGTGTCTTCTACTGTTCTACATTTGTGTGGGTTACACCATATACCGAGACATTTGGCTTTGCTTACCTATTGGAATAATTTGTGCATTTGTGATGTATCTTTTTTATATCTGTTGGGCTATATCACGTACCAAAATATTTGTCTTTGCTTAAGTATACAAATAATTTGTGCATTTGTAATGTGCCATATATATCTGTGTGAGTTACATCACGTACCAAAACATTTGACTTTGCTTAACTATATAAATAACTTGTGCATTTTGCAATGTATCTTCTACATTTGCGAGTTATGTCACATAACAAAACATTTAACATTATTGAAATAATTTGTGCATTTGTCTACAAACAACTTATTATTTTTGTTTTCCTTTATACTTTGTTCTATATCAATTTTATTAGTTTTTTTATTTATGTTATTTATTTATCTACTTCTATATATTCCATAGATTTTGGCATTTATTTTTTTCTATGTTTTTGGATATTGTAATGTCATGGTTTTTTCTAACTTAAAACATTTGTCTTATGAAGATAAAACATTTTATCTTACACCTAGAACATAATTTGTACTCAATAAAAGAAAACGTTCTATCTTCATAAGGTAAATATATCAATGTGGGGTCCTGTTTTAAAGAATTTATTGCAAGAAACGTGACGATGTAATCGAAATTTAATTTAGATACTTAGTTTAACAAGTATGATTTTTTTTTAATTTCAAAAGGCATTGCATATATGCAGATGTCAGTAACTTCAACATAGGAATGAGACTAAACTTATTACAAAATTTAACGCATAAAAAGTCATATAGTTCATAGTCATCTTTAATTAAAACCAAACTTAAAAGTATAAAGCATAAAAAGTCATATAGTCCATAGTTATCTTTAATTAAAACCAAAAAGGATCATCCTTGGCATGGAAAGGAAGTTATTTTGCCGGCACTATATCAGCTTATTGTAGTAGTACATTTCGACCCACTATATATTGAAACGACAATTGGAAGTGTCGAATGGGCGGACGGAAGAAAATTTGGCGGCATTTTTACTGGCTTCCGAGCGGTCGGCACAGAACACGCCCCGGCACTGACGGGCAGCCAGCCAACAATCGGAAGTGTCGGGCCGTTCCCCGATCGCGCGCGCGCGGCGCAAGCACCGGAATTAGACCGAGGAGAGGGTAAGGGAAGGTCGAGGCACGAGGGCGCTAGCGGCGGAGATAGCGAGCACCCGGCGTCCGGCGACGGTGGCGCCATGGGTGGTTGCTACTCCGTCATTGCGGCCACCAAGCTGAAGATGCTGCGCCGCGGAGGCCGTGGTGCCGCTGCCGTCCTCCCCGTCACCAGCCACGACGGCCCATGCTGCTCCCCCGACCACGACAGCGTCAGCGTCACAGGCAAGGAGAGGAAGAAGAAGGGCGGCAGGAAGGGCAGGAAGCAGGCCTCCATCCTGGGCGACGCCGGCACCGTCGACCCGGACTTCTCGCGGCGGTACCGGCTCGGCGCGGAGCTCGGGCGAGGCGAGTTCGGCGTCACGCGGCGGTGCGAGGACGCCGCCACGGGGGAGGCCCTGGCGTGCAAGACGCTCCGGCGGAAGCGGCTGCTCCTGCGGCGCGCCGGGCCCGACGCGGACGACGTGCGGCGCGAGGTGGAGATCACGCGTCGCATGTCGGAGGTGGGCGGGGGCAGGGTGGCGTGCCTGCGCGAGGCGTGCGAGGACGACGACGGCGTGCACCTCGTCATGGAGCTCTGCGAGGGCGGCGAGCTCTTCGACCGCATCTTCGAGCGCGATCACTACTCCGAGCGCGCCGCCGCCAAGCTCGCCCGCACCATCGTCGAGGTCGTGCAGGTAACCGTCCGTCGTCCATGACCAGCCGAGGGCCCGAGCGAGGCCGCATGAATTCGCCAGCGTCTTACGCCGTTGCCGTTCCTGCCCTGTCATGTACAAATCCGATACGCAGCTGTGCCACGAGAACGGAGTGATGCACAGGGACCTGAAGCCGGAGAACTTCCTGTTCGTAAACAAGTCGGAGGAGTCGCCTCTCAAGGCCATCGACTTCGGCCTCTCCGTGTACTTCAAGCCTGGTACGGATGGCCACCGCATCTCCATCGCAATTCGCAAGCCTGCTTCACGCTGCCATACATCACTTCAGATGGGATCAATGACATGGAAAGCTCTGCCCGTGCAGGGGATCGGTTCACCGAAGTGGTTGGCAGCGGGTGTTACATGGCTCCAGAGGTTCTCAAGAGAAGCTATGGGCCAGAGATAGACGTGTGGAGCGCTGGTGTCATCCTGCACATCCTTCTCTGCGGGTTCCCTCCGTTCTGGGGAGGTGAATGCTGCTCTCTTTTCATTCTCATGATAGTTCATCCAGCGATCCGTATTCAGAGTACTGAACTGCTGATGCAATATTGTTTGTTTCAACGATTGCAGACTCCGATGAGAAAATTGCACAGTCGATACTACGGGGAGTAATTAGCTTACAGAAGGATCCATGGCCCAAGGTCTCCCAGAGTGCCAAGGATCTTGTCAAGAAGATGCTTGACCCAGATCCTTGTACACGGTTGACGGCAAAGCAAGTCCTTGGTTAGTAGCCTTCAGTCCAATCTTAAGTTTACTGAAAACCGAATGGAAAGGGCAGACTGCATCCGTTCATAGAAAAAAGCAGAAGGAATTTGATATAGTCTGATATGCTATACTGTTATTCCCATTATTTTTTTGCAACCGTGCCTGAGCACATTTTTCAATAAGAGGCTGTTATTCCCATTGTTGAAAAAAAAACAAAGTGGTTTATGAATGCTGCATACTGAAATACGAGCACTTTTTCTCCTCATGAAAAAAAAAACAGAGCATCCTTGGCTCAAGAATGCTGATAAGGCTTCAAATGTGTCACTCGGAGAGGTTGTTCGGTCGAGGCTCAAGCAGTTCTCGTCTATGAACAAGTTTAAGAAGAAGGCACTCGGAGTAAGTTGCAGATAACTTGCTGTTACTACCCTTAATTCCTTCAAGTGACACGCTGACTGATCCTTTTTTTTTTGCCAATAATTAATGCAGGTCGTCGCCATGAATTTACCAAGGGAAGAGATTGACAAATACAATCAGATGTTCCATACCATGGACAAGGACAATGACGGTAATTTGTCACTTGAAGAGCTGAAGGAGGGTTTCCGGATAAACGGTCATCCTGTTCCAGAGGAAGAGATAAAGATGCTGTTACAAGCCGTGAGTGCAAGGATTACCATTTTTATCCTTATATTACATAATGTAGTATTAGGCTGACTGAGATATTGGCAACTGAACTACAATGAATAGAGTCGAAGAGGTAAATTCCATCTGTAATTGCAGCCAAGTATTCACCAACCTAAAAGTGTAATTTGCATTATGAAATCAATGCTCATACTACGAAGTTGGACAAATCAATTACCACTGCAATGATCTAACACAACTGTCTTCGTTTTGCAGGGTGATATACATGGAAGTGGCACATTAGATTGTGAGGAATTTGTAACAGTCTTACTTCACATTAAAAAGATGAGTAATAACGAGTATCTACCTAAAGCTTTCAAGTTCTTCGACAAAGACGGGAATGGTTTTATTGAAATGGCTGAGTTGATGGAGGCTCTAGGTGATGGTGAACTAAAGCCTAATGAACAAGTGGTTAACGACATTATCCGTGAGGTCGACAAGGATAAGGTCAGTATTCAGTAAACTAATTAATCACTTAAATATTGACCACACTGTAATTGCAACAAAAGGAAAGGAAAAGAAGTGATTCACTTCACTATCGGTCAAGTTTTAAAGCTTCCAGTAGGTATTAGGATCCTGGAATTGTATGCAACCTACGTTTGACCATTTCAAATGAACTGAAGTTAGTAAAAACCAATTCTTGACTAGTTCACTGAAACAAGCAAATTAACAAGCTACCTTCTGACCCCCCCCCCCACCCCTACTAGTTTTCAACGAAGTAAAAGATTACAAATCCAAAAGACTGGTTGTTGAGTTCCATCAACGTTTTTTATTCCTCGTCCTGGATTGCACAACACATTCTTATTTAGCATAGCTGACATTTTATAAATATATTCAACAGGATGGTCGTATCAGCTATCTAGAGTTTGAATTGATGATGAAGGGTGGATCAGACTGGAGGAATGCTTCTAGACGGTACTCAAGAGAAAATTTCAGTAGCCTCAGTCGAAGGCTGTGCAAAGATACTTTATGAAACAAGTAGTTTCCAAGCAGCAATTACTGACTGACAGTACTACGCCCTCAACTAAACAGCAAGCATCAGAAGACAATGCAAAAGAAGGATTACTGGATCTGATGGAAATAAGGGTTAAAGGAGATCCCATATACTAGTTGCATGCTTGACAAACTTCGTCAAGTAGCAAGCCCTCTGGCATTGTCCTTTGTTCTTGAAGTAAACTTTACTATTCCTAGGATACATATCAATGACTTAGACATAGACAGATGTAAAGGAAGCCCCAGCATCCATGCAATACACTAACCAAATTTTGACGTTTTACTACTGTCAAATTCATAACGAAAAGAAGCTGTCCATCTGGATGCCTAGAATTAAAATAGAATCCCAACATTAATAGATCAAAAGAGCTTCAAATTGCTGAGAGGAAAAAACAGCAATTTCGTCCAAACAGTATTTTACACTAAAACGATGGAGTGCACAGCACCCTGAAATGTGATGAATTAATCTGACATGAATTCGAGTAAACGGCACAACTTGAAAGCTGAGTAATAAATTGGTTTGATCTGCAATTCAGTAGTTCTATATTGAAAGCACATTGTGTGCAACGAAAGAGCTAGAATACATAAATAAATAAAATAAAGAAAGTTGTCTTGAAAATTAGCTTTCAAGGCATAAAAAATCAGTCCTGGTTTTAAACTGTGTTGGAGACAAAAAGATCTGGATCACAAAAACATGATTTTTTTTCTCTTCAAAAAAAGCAGAATTCGGACCTATTTACCAAAATTACCTGAAAATCTGTGTTTGATGGAGAAAGGTGAGTGGCTCACTTTTCCAGGATTCCCAAGAATCATATCGGTGACCATTTCAGCAGTGCCTAGTGCCTAAAGAAAAATTGGCAGAACAACATTAACTCTTCTATCTTCTTATAAGGAAAATGACAGTAGAATAGTAGAGAGCAGAGTGCCTCCATCCCTGTTGGCATGCAACAGATTCATCTATCTTATTTGGAATCAGGAACATGACAGACCTCACGCAAAGTAATTCAACTACCATGAATCAGCTCCAAGAGGAAACAAGGTATCTATCTTATCTAGTTTTTATGTAACTACTGTTGACCAGGAGTGTGAGGGTACGTTATGCTTATACAGCCTTATGCGTGCTCAAATAATTGGATCACAGAACTGTCCACCCTTCACCCCTATGCCACAAAAAAGTTATTAGTCCCATTCAAGGAAAGATCGCTCTGTATCTAAATGACAGAACCACTGGCACAATACCTTTTACATTTCAACTGCCTAACTAAACAGAAAAAATAATGTAACATGGAAACACTAGCAACTGAAGCAAATTGATACAGTGATCAGTGACTCACCAAAGTAAGTCCATTTCCTTCATGTCCTGTTGCAATCAAAATATTTGGCATATCAGGAATAAAGTCAATAACTGGCTTTCCATCAGGCACTGAAACAGATAAAGTATTTGTTTCTGTTAGTATCAGATAAGGGCACAAAACTAATAGCATTGTAATGAAGAATTCAGACTATGCTTCTCTTTTTCTTGTTAAGAAACTTACTGTATGGGCGATGCCCTATTCTGATTTGAGTATTCTGATCAATATCAAAAGAAACATTCTTCATTGCAGGAAAAAACTCTCCTGCACGTTCCCATATACACTGAACAACGGATCTATCAACCTCCCTCGAAAAACCTTTGAACTCCCGGCTGCTTCCTGTAGTATAAACATGCCATATATTCAAAGATTTCCTGTAGGTCACTTAAAATGGAATTCTTGTTTTGCTCCTAAGAAGAAACTGGAACATGGAGCAACGGGAGAAGACTGCTCCGTAAATTACCTAGAACCAAATTTCCCTTTGTATCTATGGTTGCAGTCATTGATACGGATAAAGCACCAAGCTCATCTTCACTAGATTCTGAAGCCATATGTGTGCTATTTGGCTTAGCAATATGATGGCCAATATATCCTACCTCCATCAGGGCATGATTCAACTTAACCTTGTCAAATTTCTCCAACACAAGAAGATGACCCTGAACAGGAAATATGTGAGATTATTTCTTTTCTATGTTGTTAATTGTTGGATTAGATAACAGGAATTTCATAAATGCTATATGTAGCAAGGAATAACATATGAGGATTTACAGATCCATTAGAGGACAAATGTCAAGCTGTGGTCATTGGTCAACAGATCAGTCTGAAATAGTTTAAATGTTTGCTAGCATGAACATGGCACTATCACAGGCTCATTTTGACTGTCAACTCCTTGCCTTAGTTCATGCAACAGGTTACACACTTCCGTAACTCTTATTTATAAGCAGGTAGCATTGTTTCCAAGTCAAAAAGGAATATTCAAGAGCCCGAATACAATATAGTATTACTCGCTGTGCTGCATCTCACGTAAACATACACAACAAGTCTTGCAAGAATACATAGAATCGAATCCACTCTACTATTTTCCATATCAGGTAAACATATGATGACCAATAATATGAAGATGGATGAGTGTTCAGTACCAAAATTTTCAGAACAAAAATCAATCCAAGAAATTTCAGATATACCTTTCGTGGCTTCACAGGAATATCCAATGTCAAAGCTGGTTCTAAGAAACTATGCAATAAGGATCGAGTCCAGGCACCAGAAGCAATTACAAAAGCTTTTCTGCCATACAATATGTTTTTGGAAGTTTGGACAGCTTCAACTGTTCCAGTAACCTCCGATCTGCATAGAATAAAATCAGTTGTCATTTATCAGTGATGCGGAGAAAGGGAAATAACTTTAAGATTTTAAAATAACATCTGAATTCCTAACAGATAGATAACACAAGCCTGGTAGTTGGAAGTATTCTTCTTCAATTAATGAATGAAGGTTGTCTAAAAATAAGAAACTTGAATACCTTATTAATGACATGGCAGGATCATTATAGAACTCCCTGTACCTTCCTTCTGAGGAATATGAGTTATTGGTCTTGCATAAGAAAATGAACCAAGAAATATCAGTGAGACACTGTTAACAGCGCACATTGCAGAACAAAATCAAACTCCTGAAGGAAAAAAAAAAAAAACCTTCTCAATCAAAGAGACAGCCTGGAATGCATCAATCTGACAGTCTTGTGGCAAGAACATAGCACCACCATCTTTCCCTACACTGAGTGCCGGTTCTAATGCATGCAGTGAAGAAGCTGACAAGAATTCCGCGTGTATGCCTGCCTGAGACAGAACCTTGGTCATTTCCTCCAATGTGTCCAGCTCTTCCGAACTTCTCCCAACAAGCAAGCTTCCTGAACAAAATCGATAGAAGCATTTTACTTTCTGTTTAAAATCATGTTTGAGACAGAAATGGCACAGTATAATACAGCACAGAGCATGTAATTTCCATGATAGGACATCTAATAAAACGATATCAGTAAACTTGAGTAATGTATGGATGGACTTAAGAATCAGACTATCAGCACAGCAAGGAGTAGCAGGAGTGACATCAAATCCATGACTGCAGGAGATGGTAATAATCTTACACTAGCAGTAGTGCAGTGTCATTCGCCCATTCATACTAAAAGCAGTAATATACTAATATCATAGCGATTCTACTACTCAGATTCGTTTGCTAGTGTTTAGAAACAATGACAATTTATTCATAGACTAATCAATCACCATAACAGCAACACGTAATAAACCGCAAAATAGCGGCAGCGTGGTTCTACCTGTCCTCATCCAACCTAATCTCTCCCGTGCACCGCCGCCTCCCTGGCCGTCAACCTCGGCCGCCAGCTCCTCCCAAAGTTGCTTGCTCCGCAGCGCCAGCTCCCAGGTGTCACTCCCCGGCCTCCGGTGCGACATCCATATGTATCCCTGCCCTGCACACAACGAACCCCACCCAAGGAAGAAACCCGAAACCAGAGGCCCAAGGATGTATTACATCCAACTCTATGAAGGCTGAAGCACCGAACCATTAACGCAAGCGCCGAAGGAAGCGTACCTGCGCCTGTGGCACCGGAGCAGGGGACGGCAGCGTCGGCGATGGCAACGGAGAGCGAAGTGTGGAGGAGGAGGTGGCGCGCGATGGCAAGCCCGACGATCCCAGCGCCCACAACTACAACATCGTGGTGGGAGACTTCGGCCGCCCCGGCCGCCGCCGCGGGGGCCTGGGCCTGGGACCGATGCCGGAGCGCGCGGAGGGGGCGCCCACGGCCGCGCCATGGGCCGCAGACAGAGAGGCTATGGGGGCCGCGCAACGACGGCGAAGCTGAGGAGTAGAAGCGCGTGGGGCTAGGGCTTCCGGAGGTGAACGCGATGACAGCATCCATTGCAAGCGGACTAGCGGAGGCCGGCGGCGGGCCAGGTGATCTGGCGATGCGAACTAGTGCGGCTGGTGGACGAAGGACGGAGTTGAGTCAACGGTCTCGCAATATTAGTGCTGGCTCATACGTTTGGATGTTTCTTATTCTGTCACGTGTACTTTCTCCGTCCCAAATAATAAGTGCACTTCTCCCCACTTCAAAAGTCATGTAATCTCGAGTTTAGCTAAATTTATATAAAATAGTATTGACATGTGTATCTTTTAATAAAATTAGTATGAAAATATACGACGCAATTAATCTAATGATGATCATTTGATATTATAATTCTTAGTATTTTTTCATATGGATTTGATCAAACTTTTTTTTTTGTCTCCTCAAGGTGCGAGATGTACACTTATTTTAGGACGGAGGGTTTATGTTCTATAATACTAGATAAATAGTAAAATGGATGACCAAAAAAGTAAAAACGACTTATAATTTGGAACAAAGGGAGTATTAAAGTGTTTTTTTATTCTATATACTCATTCTGACCATAAAAGATGCAATTATGAAATTTATGCAAGTTAAACTAGCTTAATTTTGACTAAATTTATAACTATAAAACTTATACAAGTTAAACTAGCTTAACTTTAATTAAGTTTATAATGATAGTATTAACATTTATGTCTTCAACTAGATTTACTATGAAAATATATTTCATAATTAATAATTAACTTAATGGTAAATGTTAATACTCTTATATAATTTTGATCAAATTCAAATCGTTTGACTCATCGAAAAGAGAGAATTATATCTTTTGTGTATATGTTCTACGCATAAGATGTTTTTTACTGTATTTCCGTATTCCATATATTCTCGCCTGTCATCTAGGTAGTAATATAGAGACAAAAGGAGGTGTTTCGACAACAAAACTGAACAAATAATTCGACAAACGAATACACGATTCATATCTTCTCCTCTGTAAGACAAAGAGCCTACAGGCAGCAGCAGACCTTACTAGATCAAGGAGTACATAAATACCTAGATCAAAGTTTACATAATGAAACATTGATGTAGTCTAGGTAACTGGAGGCCTAGTCCCTGTAATCTCGGCTCTCGCTTCTCTTGGAGTGATGCCGGTCACCATGGCGTCGGCGATCCCTGTGGTGAGAGTGTCTGCTCTCATATGTATCCTCCCTGTGATGCCGATGGTGATGGTACCGATCAGGGCTGCGACCAGGTTCGTCTGAAGTTCTCTCCCTTTCATAGCCACTGTCTTCCTCTGGTGGAGATAATTCGCCCAGTTCTTGGCTTCGTCTGCACTTGCGATGATCCCTGTGGTGTGAGTATCTGCTCTCATATGTATCCTCCCTGTGATGCCGATGGTGATGGTACCGATCAGTGCTGCGACCAGGTTTGTCTGAAGTTCTCTCCCTTTCATAGCTACCATCTTCCTCTGGTGGAGATACTTCTCCCACTTCTTGGCTTCGTCGGCGCTTGCGATAACCTTCGTCATGTCCCTTGGACTTCCTCTGACTGCTGTACCTGTTGTCCTCCCTGGTAATGGATGATCTTGCGCTCCTCCGGCTTTGTGATTCTTCTAGCCCGTCATGGCTGCTTTTCCTCCTACGAGGGGTTTCATCATCGTCAGTAGAACTTATTTGCCTTCTGTAGGTACTAACCCCAGCTCTGTCCTTGGATCTTCTCCTAGGAGGTGAATCTTCAATGTCAACCTTGCTACTCTTCCGCCTTGGTGGTGGTGGAACCTGTCGTAGTAGGGTAAGCAATGCTATTTCAGTTATGTCATAAGGGCACGTTTGGTTTCCCAGCCAGGCAACATTACCAAGCCATCGATTTTGGTCGCTTGACGGCCAGGATCGTAGCCTGGCAAGCAAGCTGCCTGTCAGGCCGCGAACCAAACAGGCCATTAAATAGCCAAAATCCCTTCCCAACATGATGGTAGTTGGGACAGCAGATCAAGCAAATAACAGTTTCATCATGGTACGAACGCACACAAGTGCCATGTTTAGGCACTAGTTTTCCAATCTGGCACTGCCTATGTGGTTCAGTAATGGAAACAGTAAGTGGCTAGTGCAGATCAAAAATACAAATTTAAAACAAGGTTCCTCCTGACCAAATATTCTAAGTTTCCAACTGCCCACTATTCTCAATGGCAAATGATTAAAATATATAATAATATGTCATATCAATTCAATTTCACTTTAAAGCATGAAAAGTATGGATGTTGTAATGAAATATCCGAAAGAGTGCCACTATAGTAGTATAGTACTTCATTCCAAATTGTAAGTTGATTTAGCTTAGTCAAACTTCTCTAGCCTTGACCAAATTTATAGAAAAATGCACAAACATCAAACAAGATTCATTAGAACCACCATGAATATATTTAATAGTGCATTTATTTTATATTGTAGATGTTAATATAAACTTGGTCAAAGTTAGACAAGTTTGACTTAAGACAAAACTAAAACGACTTACAATTTGAAACAGAGGGAGTACTTCATAACAATAGTGAGCACTTTTCCCATTTAACAGTTAGAAATAAAAAAAAATATGGTGAGCTACCTGATAACGTGTCATATATCGCCCTTCAGGTGGTGGTGGGATCCCAAGCTTCTTCAGTTCATCATAAGGAATAGGTCGCCTATTTTGTATAAAAAGATATGTCAAAAACTTTTAACTCCAAAGCACATTTGTCATCAATTATCATGAATTATGTAGGCAAAAATACTGGATGCACTAAATGGCATCATGTGATCATACAAAGGAGCACGAAATGGCCTCTCTCGACCTCCAAAGCGAAGCTGTCCAGATTCTTTCATTCCTCCAAGCCCCCCTCCTGCAAAAAGGCCATTAGAAGTAACATGAAAGATCAACACAAAGTATTGAGTAAGAAACATCTAAACAGTGCATGAGCAGGGTACATACCTAGCCTCCTTGGTATCCACCCAGGCATAAGCTGTTGCCTGTAGTAATCAACAATCACTTCACTGCCGTCAATAATTGAATGGTGCGCATCCTTAAGGGAAAAGGAAATGATGAATAATTTTCTTTTAGATATAACAAAGACTCAATGCAGTAAAAAAAAGACCAGAGTACAGAACTCAAACCATAGATAGCAAATACCTCATAGGCACGATGCATCTCTCTGTCAGTTTCATACTCAACAAATGCATAACCACGAGAAGCACCTGTAACTACAAAATGAAGCAGTTTGGTCAACATAAAACTACAAACTTAAGCAAATTGTCTAGAAAATTGCAAATTAATGCTACTGGTTTAAGAAAGTTAATATCCCACATTGAAGTGAAGCTTATAAAGCAGTTGTATGCTTCCTCATGTTCTCAGAACCAAACAATTCGCATGGACAATTGGAATAGTAGCATTGCCGCTATGCTCACTATAACACTAGTACTATGCTGTAGAAAACAACGGAGCAAGGTATCACCCACCAATGTCACGCACCAGCCGCATGCTCTTCACCCTCCCGTACCTGCTCATCGCCTGCGCAAACAGCAAAAGGGAGAATCGACCACCCCAACCATGAGGATCACGACTAACCCAGCACACAAGCACAAGAGGCAAGACCATTCCATTGGCAACACGTGAGGGGGGCAGAAGGGGCACACCTTCCGAAGCGTGTCGTCGTCGGTCTGCCGCGAGAGACGGCCGACGAAGACCGTGCAGTAGGGGTCACCGGAGGTCTTGGGGTCGCCGAAAGGGTCGTCTGAAACGGAACGCGAGGGAAACCCAGGTAAGAGAGAGAGACAGAAGGGGTAGGCGGAGAGGGGGATAGCGGAGACGCGCACGCACAGAGGCCGGCCTGGGAGCAGATGAGGGCGCGGAGGACGGCGTTGTCGTGGGGCGCGACGTCCGTGCCGTCGATGCTGCCGGCCTGGATCGGGTGGTACTTGTCCGCGTAGAACACGGCGCTTACGCTCCCACCGCTCATCTCGCCACGGGCTAGCGCCGGCGCCGCCGGTGGAGAGCTGGGACAAGACGGAGTAGACGAAAGGAGAGATGGGTTCGGTCGGCCCGTGGCTGATGGGTTGCAGTTGGGCTGGGCCCAAAGTCCTACAGTTCTAGGCTTGGCCTTATATCCTCGTGGTACGGCAAAAAAGTGACGGCGACCAAGATCACCTTCACCCTTTCCTTAAAAAAAATAACCTTCACCTAGTCCATGTCGTCTTTTTTTCTTTTCTTCTTCTTTTAGAGGAAGTCCATTGTCCTCTTAAAAGAGAATCACCCCACCGGAACAGGGCTCTGCTAGATGGCGTGCGGTCAGTGCAATGGCTCGGCCCCACATAGGGCCAAAATTATCGGATGGTTCGTTTCGCTGAAATTTGGCTTATGCTGAGTTGTTATGAAAGAAAAAAACGGTTTGTTTGCTGAAATGTACTGCTGAAGTAGTGCAGACAAACAGGCCCTACGGTTTATGTTTACAGCATGGCTAGCGTCGGAACGTCCGGACGTCCGCGTGCAACCTGTCTCCGTCCGCTAATTCGCCCCGGCCCGTACGCACACCCCATCCTGTCGTTGTGCTCTCGCGTTCGAACGACTCGCCTCCCACGTGCAGTCCACCCCGTCTGCCTCGATTCGACCCGTCCCTATCCGTCTAGCTGTTTGCCCCGCCCCGCAAGCGCACCCTGCCCCGTCGCATCCCGATCGTCGGCCCCCAGTGCATTGCGCCCTCTCCAGCGCCCGTGTCGTGCCACCGTCACTCCCCGTGCCCCCTGACTCTCCGAACAACATGAAACACTTGATTGCAACATACGTCTAAAATAAATAAAACATTTGAAACATACACTTACAATATATATGTGAAACATATGCAACATCCAGATAAAACACTTGCAACTTGTAACATAGAAACACCTGCTGCAACATAAGATTGCAACAGATGAAACATACTATTGCAACATATGTAACATCCAGGTCAAAACGCTTACAATATACGTCGAGAACGGATGAAACATTTTGAACAAACACTTGCAACATGTCTCTAAAGCACTTGCAACATATGCAACATGTGCAACATCCCCGATCTACTTTTGTAATATCCATATGAAACAATTGCATCATGCCTCTAAAACGTACATTTGCAACGTAAGGGAGGGGAGGACTGGGTCGATTGATTTTCGGGCGTCGGGATATGAGTCAATGGCAAGCGGCGGAGCACGAGCACCACTAGCATCCAACCACGCTCGTGGGTGCCCTTGGCTCGGCCAGGAACGACCTGAGGCGCCCCAGCCATCGGTAGGGGCGACTGCGGCTGAAAGTTATAGTTTGGTTTTGAATAATTGATGAAACGTATGGACTAATCCTTGAGCTAAGTGTGGAGACTAGATAGGATGGTCTAATCCAAGTGGTGGAGCAAGATGAAGTCCATGAAGATGAAAATGGACATGAAATGATGGTGATCAAGCTCCAACTTAGAAAAGAAGAAAGAGAAACAAAAACCAAAGAAATTAAGACAAATGTATCAAATAGGTTTTTATTTTGTCACTCAAGACACCGTAGAGAGTGTGAGTGTGTTTATGATCGATAGCCGTATTGTAAAGAGAAAAAATCTTTGGCTAAGAGGTTATCGAGTGCCACTAGGTGATATGACCCTTGCATATACATTAGGGACCTAGTGTGCTAACTTTTGACACTTGAAAAATAATTAGAGAAATGCTAACACATGTGCACACAAGTTACACACTTTGTGGTTAGCAACTTGAAAGCAAGGGTGAAAAGTTTAAGGAGATAGAAAAAGAAAAGGATGTATAGATACAGGACCAGACGCTGGCTCTGTCAGGACCGGACCCTGGCAGGCCGCGTCCGGTCAGTTGACCAGCCACTGGCCGAGAGGGCTGCAGTGTGATCGAACGCTGGACATGACGCTGGGGCCGCGTCCGGTCATACTCAGGAGAGAGGGCACGGCCCGGTGTCGCGGTCAGACGCTGGGGGTGAGTGTCACATCCCAAAATTTCTATTTTGGGTTATGAACAGAAAACACTAAATAAAATAAATAGTTTTATGAATTTACTAAAAAAAATTAAGATTTAAGTTTGTTGTTAACAATTTAAACAATGCAAAATATGATTTTCTAAAATTATTTATAATTATTTAATTTAATTTGTTTGCTTGCATTCATGATGCTTGCATTAATTTTATCCGGTGAAAAATGATTTATTAACAATCCCGGCTAAGCTACGGAAATATTTTATTCTATTTCCAAAATAAAATATAAGTTTTGTTTAAATAAAAGTTTAGTTTTTTTAATCTCAATCAAATCTTTAAACCTTGTTTTCTAGCCAATATTCTTTATATCTCAAGTCAAATACTTTATTCTAATCTTTATCCATCTCAGCACGTTGACCCTTTGGTCTTAGCTTGCCATTAATAATTCCAACACAATTTCCTTTCTTCCTTTTCTTTCGGCTATTTTCTTTTGCACCTGAAATCCACATGCATGCATGCAAGAAGCACCAACGCCCACCGCGAAATTGATTGTCCACTTTCTCCCCTCTTTCAATTCCCCTCATCAATAACTCACACGTTATTTCTTTTGTGGTCATAACTCTGAAGCTCCACTAGCGCCTCCTAATGCACCGCCTGCCGCACCTATAAAGGTTCCCTGTGCGTCCACCATCTCACACGCGCTGCAGGTCCTGAGAGCCTCCCACACAGCTTCTATTCTTTGGCAAGTGAATCGATCGTCCTTCTCTGAGTTCCAGTGCCGACGCCGCTGCCGTTCATTCGTGTCCCATCGAGTTGCCGTTCATCGGTCTTCTAGCAGCTAGTCTGGTGAGGATCTCCTCTTAATATCCCTGTAATCTCCGATCACAACAACATGCTGATGTTTTCTATTCGTATTTGTATATTGGTGATCCCCATGACTATTCTCGGACCATAGAATTTACGGCTTTGCACCTAAAGTACTCGTTCCTGTCAACAAAAGATCACCGTATTGCATCATTGTTTTATCTCTCGAGGCTTCTTATCCTGTTTCACTGCTGTTTAGCGACGCAAGGTGAGAAGCTTATCTCCATCACAACCTTTCAGTTTTCCAGCCCGCTTCATACCTCCTTCAATCACCAATTATTAGTTTATTAATTTTTCTCAGACCAAATTCATGCATGCTGACGGAACTCACATGCAAGCATATATAATCTTGTACGCACATCTACATGATCTGTGTTGCATGGTTTAGCACCTTGATGATGTCAGCTTACAGCATACTAATGTCTTATATATACAGCATGTCTTTTGTCTTCAAAAAGAAATCTCAGTCCTGTTCTCGATATATCTCCTTTCAATAATCTAAACCTATCGCTGATGAAAGTTCACGTTCTGCACATGTCGATATGTCATCATGTTAATGTCATATGTGTATTCTAGCTTTTTCCTTCATAAATATAATTCCTGTATTTCTATAAAATCCCTTTTAGCTATCCAGCCAATGGTTCTTTTATTTCTTTCCACGTCTTTGCCATCCACCTTGCAACTCATTGATGTCCGATCATATTCCATTTCTTTGTAATTTAAATTTATTCCAAAATATTTAGCCTATTTCAAATGTCAGTTTTAATTTAAGCCCATAAAACTTCAAATGCCCGTTTTAGTTGTTTTTGCGCTCACACGATCATAGCAACGAGGCCTAGACGTTAGTAACTCTTATAATGTTTTTTTATAACGTTTGATGTATTGTTTTAGGTAATATGTGATGCTTGTTTCCTGTGATTGCTCTCTCTCTCCCTCTCTCTCTCTCTCACACACACACAGAAAAGATGTCCGAGGTTGATCGAGAAGAAACGTTCCAATGTCTGAACAGCCTTTTGGAGGCAAGTGTCCTTGATCATATTGCACCAACTTTATTTGATTTTGAGTTATTGTAGTTAGACCATTAGTTGCATGCTGAGTCTAACTTGAATCCCATGTTATAGTTTACTAGAAATTCATATATCATCCTTGAAACCTGAGTTAGTTGGAAATAGTTCTTGCTTAGCCTTGCAGTCAGGGTTGGTTTGGGTAATTCAAATAAAATTTGGTTAATGATGTTGATATTTGGCAAAGTTGGAAACTTTGCAAGATCATGGTTATGGGTCGGTGAATCTGAGCAGGATGGAAAGATTGGTATGATGGTTATTTGGTTTTGATATACCTTGGTTTTTTGGGTTGGTGCTCGTACCTGCTCTAGATTCTAAGGACCGGTTCTCGAAGCCTATAACCTGGCTTAACATCGCAACCATGAGGTCTGGATGGGCTGGACCTAGCCAGGTAGTGTGAAGCGTGATGGGGATACACGACTCATGGTAAAAGTGTGTAACATCTGCAGAGTGTAAAACTGATATATCAGCCGTGCTCACAGTCAAGAGCGGGCTTGGACTTCTTCGAGATTAGTGGATCTCTATGGTTGAAGATGGATGGTTCAGATGGGACTTGGATGGAATCCAAGTGTGGTTATGGTTTAGTTCTCTGAGGAGATGGTGGTTTCACCTAGTAATAGGTGCTAAGGATTTAGGGTAAACTAGGATTTATCGCTTAAGTGCTTGTGTCAAACCTTGTAAACCTTTCCTTGCGTTGGCCCTCATGTCATACTTTCCTACACTCACGGAGTACATTTCGATGTACTCACCCTTCTCTTTATCCCCCTTGCTACCCCACCCAGTTGTCCAGACTAGAAGACGGAGTCCCTAGAAGATGGTGTTTCCTGAAGATGGTGTCGATGCTAGGCTAGTGTACCTCCGGTCGGCTGCCTGCAGGGATGGAGACCCTGCTTCGCTGTAACTTTGATGTAATTTTTGTTTAGACCCTCTGGGGATTTTGTCGTATGTAATTGCTTTTGTAATAAACACTGATTTGTATCATTACATTGTCGTCGCATGTATGAATAAACAGATCCTGGCATACATGTGATGTGCATTCGGTTTTGTCCTCAAAATCGGGTGTGACAGCGAGGCACGA